CATGGAACTGGATATTCAACTGGTTTTATGTTAAAAACATGTTCTATAGCACACCTAGGTGCCATGGTCTTTCATATACTGACAGTCTAATGTAATGACCTTAAATATTTTAAGAACAAAATCTAAACACCTGCACTGACTGAATGTGAAGCAGGAGTTTTCCTTTTTGGCAGGAAAATCTATCTTTTGGATGTGTAAAGACTTACTCAAAAATACATACTGCTCCCGGAAGCACCATAAATGAGAAATAGTGTACCTTGTGTCTCATCAACTGGCTACTTTGCATACCCAAATGCTCGATGTGATGTATGGGAATATTGGAGATTCCCATTATGTTGGCTTTTAAGGTTTAATTACACTAAAAAGGCAAGCCACTGAAAGACATCAATGTAAATCATTTTAATATCTTTACTCTTGGAACTCATGCATGCCAAGGGAACAAAAGATTTATCAAAAGGAAGACTATAATGTGCTTTGTTTGTCCACACGACTATGTATATAGGCAGCTAGATTTTAACCAATCAGCACTTAAATACACACAGCTCATAAGAAAATGTGGCAGTAATCCTAAATATACAACGATCCCCTGCCCAACTCCACATCTGCAGCAAGGTTGACTCAAGCATCTCCCACTGTACAAAACAGTGCTCCCCGTGGCTATGTGCCAACTATATCTTACAGAGTAAATGGCAGCTTTGCATCCCTGGCAAATTCAAAGCCATCACTTTGCTGGTATACAACCATATGTTTACAATAAGATCAGGAAACACAAGTAATGACATACAATAATATACAGTAAGGGTCAGGCAGGATCCTCCATAAACCTCAATGCTGTACTCTTGCACATGCGCAAGAGTACAATACAAAGGTCTGTCTGTTCCTGGCAGGTGAAGCACCGGGAGCTGTACAAGAGAGGATTGAAGGAGGCGCCCTTGAGAGACAGGTAAGTAAATCTCACATTTCCCCTCACCCACCTCCTTCCATTGCCATCGGACATCCAGCATTGATGTCAGCATTGGGCTCTTTGCAAATTAGACCATGGCGGAGGCACTTTAATGTAATTGAAATATTCAATATAGCTCTACATAATATTTCCATCTACTGTACTCTCCATCCATTTAACCAACTCCAGTCGGGTACCATATTACACCATAACAATATGCTAAACGATAAAAAGAAACCATTTTCAAAAAAGCTAAGATTTATAACCTCATTTAGCCAAATCAAATGCTTTGATGTGAAACATGAACATTGCATCTTTGAAGATTTCCACGGGAAAAACATAAATAAATCGATCACATCAATTGCGCAGGATGGAGACAGAACTGAAAGCTCTCATAATGCTTTCCGAGCAGGAACAGATCTGACATCAGCATGACAAATTTGCACTAGCCAAAGGACGCGCACATTAATAATATTTTATGAAGTGCTGTGACGTGCCACGGTAAGATGCAAAATAAAGTGGGCTAAGGCAAACGATACCGCAGGAAACCATTTAGTGTAAATATCCTCGACCACTATTACCACAGAGCTGGCATAACAGAAATAACCTTGTTCATGCTGCTCAATACTTGGTAGAGCTGTGAGATTCTGTTACCTGCTTGTGATTTCCTTACCCCACCATCTTCCTGCTGTCTCAGAGGGAAAGACATTCATTCAAAGTACAGCTACTCAAACCGCTTACATTTCACAAATGAACAAGGACTTTCACATATGTCTCACGTAAACAGCGCACTGCTAAATAGCGTTCATACCAGTTGTAACAAAGCCTTTCCACTTTCCAGCATCTGTTTCAGGTTTATACCATAATTACACATTTATTTTCTAAACCACAAGCTGACCCCTATATAAATGATCTTGATCCAGGGATCATTCCTGTAATGGTTGTAAAGGGATATAGGATTTTTTTGTAAACATCCATATCACGCCACTCTTGCATGCACTTCTTCACACTGTTCAACCAAAATTTTGATATTTGTAAGGCCATCTGGATTTTCCCATTTATATTCTGTTGGGAGGGGAGATGGGGAGGCAGTTCCTTGTCCATCCCCAAAGTATACAGTCCGTTTAATCAGTTGCATCATTTGGGAAATATTGCTTTTAAGTAAATACAGGAAGTAATATAAGAAATACTGTTAAAATAAGGAGCAAACCTAAAAGGGAAGCTTTTACAACACGCCCCTTCTTAATGTAATTTTAAAATTAAAAATAAATAAAATAAATTCTAATGCAGGTGTGCAGATTCTCGCAGGTGAAGAATTTACCCCACCCCAATAGCTTATGTAAGCACCCAATACAGTTTTAAAAGACCACTAAAGTCATTTAGGCCCCTTCATAGTATTTAATATTTATTGACACATAAACTTCTGCACTTACTACAAGTAACCAGGAAGAAACCCCCAACAGACACATCATTAAAAGCAATCCTGTAAAGATGTCAAGCCTTCCATATTTTGCCTTAAAGGATTACTCCAAGCACCATAAAAACTATAGACTGTTATAATGGTTACAATGTCATGAGTACCCTGGCTTGGTTCCCCGCCAGAAACTCAGATGCTCCCTGGTGAAGCAGCAACACTCTCCTCTGCAAAGCCGCAAGTCATGGACATTTTTAAACAATGACTTACATTCTATGTAACAAATGCTAGTGATGCTGATGACTCTATAATGACGCTGTTGAAGGTGGAGTTATACCTTCGGCAGCAGAGGGGTTAAACTCCACATGTGCAATATTTCAAAGCTTAACGCTGCACTTACAGAATTGTGGCACCATGATCACTTCAAATCGCGGGCCTGAGCATGGTTCTCGGGGTAAGAACTTTAAGTCCTACCGTGAAAAGGTTGCCGTCTTCAGATCACTGTTTGGAATGTTTAGGAGTTCCTGCATGGAAGGAACGAGTAACGTTAATATTAAAAATCCTGGCAATTTCCCTTATAATTTATGTTTTTAGCACTGAATTTTGCTTTGTTTTATTACTAGCATCAGCATATTTTGAGGGAAGTAAAGAAAACAAGTCTAGCCTTGACATTTTGATAATAATGCAGTAGTAATAGTTAAGGCCTTTGTATGAATAGCATGTCTTCCAATACAGAATTTGTTTTTAGTGGAATAGCTGGACATAGTCCAGAAGCATAGAGCACTAACTGCTGTCAGCCCAGTGTTCAGTCTCCCATACAAGCATTTTCATGTCTCGCTGTCAGACAGGAAGAGCTCTATAAACAACGCACTAAAAACAAAAAGCATTATAAAAACAAAACTCTTGACATTTGATGATTTTTACGAAGATACGAGTTTAGATTCTATAACCTTTGGAAAAAACTGATCTGATGACCCAGAAATGTTTGCCTGCATATACAATACTTCCATTCTGGGAGAGCCCCACCTTAAAAAGGGACAATATGGTCATCAGAACTAGGATGTAGTGGTTCTGGTGTCTATAGCATGTCCCTGCAGGCTTTTCATAGTAAACGCTGCTATTTCAGAGAACTCTAACTCCCCAAGTGGCAGTCACTCAGATGGCAACTAGAGGTGTCAGTTCTGCACAGTGCTGGCATTCAACGTTATCACGCTCTGCATGGAGACACTAAACGTCCACCATAGAGCGCATTGATTCAAGGAATCCCGATTGGCGCAGCACAGTGTTTTGCCAGAGCCTCCCAAATCCTTCCTTTACTAAAGCATTGGATTGGCTTTAGCCATGGAAATTCAAGTATGATCTCGGAGACGGCCACGGAGACACCAGTGCAGTGTGGAAGAAAAGGTGAGTAAAATTACCATTTTACTACAAAAAGATGCGGACTGGTGACCTAAATAATTATTTTACCAATAATTCCTTTAAGAATAAAGAGCGGCACAACTTTTAGGTGCCATAATGTCGGAATACTTGTCCAGTCAGCTACTGCGACCTTAGTGAGTCCCAAGCCTGTGAAACTGCAAAGACCAAGGGTAGGAAACCAACTTCCCTCCAGCAGTTTGTGAATTAGAATTCCCACAAATCTTAACTAGTATATCATGAGAGCTTTAATCAACATCTGGAGTGAATTTTGGATATGTAAATCTAGTGGTGAAAAACATGCCTTTTCCCTTACTATGCCCAGTACAAAACACAAGCACGCATAGGATTAAAAATAAAAAATCTGTTTCTTCTCTTTGCCTTCATAACAGCCATGAGTATTCGTGAATTTTCTCCTCATTCAAGTATGCTGTAATTTTGATGAAGGAAAAGACAAGTATTTTGGGGCAAAACGTTTTAAAAAAAAAAAAAAGATCTTAATTGTAAGTTTTAGTGCTAAATATTAAAGGACCACTCTAGGCACCCAGACCACTTCAGCTTAATGAAGTGGTCTGGGTGCCAGGTCCAGCTAGGGTTAACCCATTCTTTTATAATTATTTATGAATGGGTTAAGCCTTCCTCCAATTCCTCTAGCGGCTGTCTCATTGACAGCCGCTAGAGGCGCTTGCGTGCTTCTCACTGTGAAAATCACAGTGAGAGCACGCAAGCGTCCATAGGAAAGCATTGATAATGCTTTCCTATGTGACCGGCTGAATGCGCGCGCAGCTCTTGCGGCGCGTGTGCATTCAGCCGCATGGGAGGAGAAGAAGAGGAGGATCGGAGGCAGAGAGCTCCCCGCCCAGCGCTGGAAAAAGGTAAGTTTTTACCCCTTTCCCCCTTCCAGAGCCGGGCGGGAGGGGATCCCTGAGGGTGGGGGCACCCTCAGGGCACTATAGTGCCAGGAAAACGAGTATGTTTTCCTGGCACTATAGTGGTCCTTTAAGTAACGAAAATGTCAAAAACATGCCTACTTTTCTTTTACTGGATTAGTGAATGTTTTGTGTAACTAGAACAGAATAATTGAGGAACTCTTACTTATTAAAAAGAAAAAAGGTCTTAACTAGTGATGTCCCGAACGGTTCGCCACAGACGGCGAACATATGCGCTGTTCGGTCCGCCCCCTATTCATCATCATTGAGTAAACTTTGACCCTGTACCTCACAGTCAGCAGACACATTCCAGCCAATCAGCAGCAGACCCTCCCTCCCAGACCTTCCCACCTCCTGGACAGCATCCATTTTACATTCATTGTGAAGCTGCATTCTTAGTGAGCTGTCCAGGAGGTGGGAGGGTCTGGGAGGGAGGGTCTGCTGCTGATTGGCTGGAATGTGTTTGCTGACTGTGAGGTACAGGGTTAAAGTTTACTCAATGATGACGAATAGGGGGCGGACCGAACAGCGCATATGTTCGCCATCCGCGGCGAACCGTTCGGCGAACCGTTCGGGACATCACTAGTCTTAACTTGATCTCTGGCTATTACACAGCTAGTCACCTTCACAATTAAAACGGACACTTCTCATTGTAACTCCACCTCCAGCAGAGTCAAAAGGGCATGTTGGCAACAGACAGCCAATGGTGGTAATGCCCTGTAAGAGACACTTTTTATTAAACATTCACAAACTACTTGACAAGCTGACAACCACAACTTGAGAAGTTAAATTAAAATAAAAAACTGATCATTCTAAACAAAAATCAACTTTAGCCTTGCTTCCAATACATAGTAGAGACAAGAAAATTAAAACAACCCACCAGCAGTGCAGCGGCTCAGACAATAAAGGAAAAAAAAATAAATGGATGTTTACTGAGAGGTATCATCACTGTTTTGCCTGTACACAGCAAGAGTTGTATCAGCACAGAGGATATTATTTCTTTAAACAGCTTCAGCACAACCATAAAGATGAACAATGAAAGCCGCTCAAGCACAAAAAAAAAACGTGTTAATGGATTTTGATAACGACAAAACCATCCACTGCATTCATTATTGCTGCTGCGATATGTTTCAGCGACTCCTAAACAGGCCAAATTTAGCAAAGCACAGAGAGATTAAAATACACCACCATCGGGAGAGCCTCACAATTAAAGAGATGCTAGTCACCAAAACAACTTTAGCTTAATGAAGCAGTTTTGGTATATAGATCATACGTCTGAAATCTAACTACTGAATTACCTGCCATTAGTTAAATCACTTTTGTTTTATGCAGCCCTTGCCACACCTCTCTGCATAAAATCACATGTTAACTTAGTTTATACGTTTGTATCTCTGCTCTAAACTGAACTTTATCAACAAACAGGAGGCCCCTGCACTGTTTAGAAAGCTATTAAAAGAGCAGGAGATAAGACATTCCAAATTAAACAGAATTTACAATAAAGGAAGTGTAAACATTAGATCTCACTTTACAGGAAGTGTTTAGCAAGGCTGTGTATGTCGCATGCATGGGAGTGACTATGGCTGCATAAACAATGTGATTATATGGCAGAGAATTGTGCACTGAGACTGCAAGGGCATGATCTAAACACCAAAACTGCTTCATTAAGCTAAAGTTGTTTTGATTACCATAGTGTCCCTTTGACTGATCCATTTTAGTTCAATTACGTAAATTTTGACAATTAAAACAAAAACAGAATAAAACCACAACACGTGGCATTTTGCTTAACCATGAAAATATAAAGATGAGATGATGTTTTAAGAGTATATAACCAGAAATCTCATCAATACAGAGGACATTGAGCGGCTCCCAGATATGGCAAGCAAAGCGGTTATAAAAAAGAAACAATCAGTAACTTGGAAAAGACAGCAACACGTTGCATCATGCCTGCTAAAATAAAATAAAAATAATTTTTTTTTTTTTTTAAAAACACCTTTAACAGAGAACAAAATCTTCCACCAAAAGGTACAATAGTCATTACGTTATGTTTATAACAGCAGTGATTAAAGCATTGTCTAAAGAACACTTTATAATACAATAGTTAAGATTTGGTACTCCAACGTACCATCACAACACATATAAAGCTCAGCCAGAACACACATTTGTTTGGCTGACAAATGTGGCGGATGCAGCAGGAGTGCCACAGAATCCCCAACACACAATTGTAAGTTTCTTGGTTTACTTCTCAGTGGTACAATCTCCAGAGGAAACACAAGGGGGCAGAGGTGAACACTGAACCAATAAGAGAGAAAGTTTTCTCAGCATGGGAACTGAGAAAGAAGGGGGGCTACAAAGCTGATGGGGTAAATAAAACACCAGACAACTACAGATACTTTAATGGTCATTATTTAACTTTGTCATTAAATGATGGGTTGCTTTTAATAGCGACGGGCAGACATGGATTTCTTTGTGTGTAGACGCCAATGAAATGACAGAGAGCCCTGTTTCATGTGGCTATGAATATCCTAATACACATTATAGTATAGATCACAAGCCCCTAACCATCACCCACAATTCCCTACCGGAGTGTCATAATTCAGATGCTACAGCAGAGATGGGAAACCAAAGTCATAACAAATAAAATAGATTAGCCAGTGATTGTCAACCTATGCCACTGCAAAGCATGTGAATTTAAATGTCCTATCAGGCTCAGCCAGCAGTTTGCCGTCTGAATCAGCCGGGAAGCCAATATGCAGCAATCACAGATCTTCTTTATTATTACAAATGTTTTAGCTACAAGACTCCGCTAAGGAACTCACAAAGCAGGTTGTGAAAATAGAAACGTTCGTCTGTAATGTAACATGTTATTGGCCAGTTTGGCAATCAGTGCATTAAATATCTAATCTTGACAGCTTTACTAGGCCTATCCAATTAAAAGCAGTAAAACCAAACAATAGCACACGTCATTTTCTTACCACCCCTCTTCCCCCCCCCCCCGTTATTTAACCCGTCAAAAGGTAAGTAGGAAATTTATTGAAACCAACAGCTAGTATGAGCCATTTGTTGTGTGTTTAATTACACTCAAGATACCCTAATTGTTCATTACACACCGGAAACAGGGCTGATGCTACGATGACTAAATGCCCCATAAGACAGCAGCATGAAAGCTATAGGTATTTATTAGTAATACTTGCCTCAGGACTAATGGTTTCACGCAGGATATTCACACTACAATAAACCAATTGTTTTTCATTGTTAATATGCAAAATAACAGGATAACAGCATGGGAATAAATGTTTTCTACCCACATGCATCCTTTCCTAAATGCACATAGCACAATTAGAAGCCACACGAAAGCAGCACTCAATACATCCCTTGGAAGATAAAGATTTCTGGCAAGGATTCAATGTTCTGTGTATAGAAAAACAGAACAGCACTAGCAGAATTAGGTACAAATGAAAATCCACTGTCTCAATCAAAGCCTGCTACAGATGCAAGCCCCGACATGGTTAATTAGCCACCATCCTTCCAGAGTGTGAGAGCCAACAGGATAATGCAGAATGATTGCTTTACACTGTCAAAGCCCAGTACATATTATTTAGAAAGATTTGTGCATTAAACCTGTCTACAAAATATGTCTAGATTCAGGCAACAAAAAATCATTGTAGCTCAAATATGTGATAAAAATCTGACCCAAATAATATTTTCTTCTCATAATCTTCTGTAGTCTAACAAAACAAAAGGAGGAATTTCTGTTATCACGGGGACAATAAACCAGTTTATTAACCAAATACATTGCATACTTTGACATTAACCACATAATTCATCATGGTATAACCAGTAAGTGCACCCACCCAGTCCCGATGACAGAATTATTTCCCCATGCTTGCTTGGGACTTAACATCCCCTGCTGGTACCATGAGACCCAGTATAATTAGAAACCCAAGACTATCAGATTCATTTCAATCACCAGGGGCCACAATTACTGGGTAGTGCAATATGCATCTCCTATGATCAGCATTAGGATCTGCAACAAGCATATCCCATACTCTGAGGTGGGTGAGATCATCTGTGTAGTATTCTCCATACAGACATTGTGCATGGGAGCATTCTGTGAAATTGGCGATAGTACACCATACACTCGGTCATATTTATTTTTTTAAACAATCACTGGGTGGGTGCAGGATGCCCTCTGCACCATCTACCTTCCAATCATGCAAAGTTGTTATGCAGCCTAGATTGATTAAGTGCCAAACAAGATAAAATCGGCTTGGACGCTTTCAAAAATACACAGTGGGGATTCTCACTGATGGCCCAGCTAGTGTTATTGAACTGCTCTTCCTCTAATTTGTTGCTGCCTTAAACCAAAAGGGTTTTACAAGAGACCTAGTCATGAAACAGCCTCTAACATACTTGGGCATTGTTACTGCTATAGTATAATTTCAATTGGGAATGGATCTCTTGGGGACCACAGAGTGCCTGTATCAGCTGTGAGCTCTGTAGTACTGTATGGCAAAGGCCACACCACTTGATTCAGATTGCCAAGCACAGAAACAGTAAGGAACTTTATCCCTGACAGTGCAGCATCAGCATGGAGATCACTGACATCATTCCTGGAAATTACAGTCTGAAAACCCACAGGCATTTCTTGTAAAACACAAATACACTAGGTTATTTCAGGTGGGTCCTATCAGGATTTCACATACAGCCACGTCGCCATCACTGTGTTTTTGAGGGATTCCATTTTCTCTGCACTTTTCTCAAAACGCATCACAGCTGTGGGTTTCACGAATGGGCTTTGAGTGTGCACAGGAAAAGATTGCTGTTTTAAGTTCCTCTACTAAATATTAAACAGGCATAGGAAGCGCTGCTATTCTGATATCCCTGATCATTGTGATATAATCAATTAACAAATTATTAGGGGATCAAACCAATCATCCATAGCCCCCTATGACCATATTTTATAGAGAGACAACAGCTAACAGTCTCATACAGGATTAGTAATACACCGGGACAAGGATTCAGAGCTCTGTGAATCCTAAACATGTCTGCTTCTAAACGTACTGTCAGCACTTACTATTAAAACAATGCCATCTGGTGGCATTTAAAGGAACATTGAATTCAAACTTATCTTTTTTTTTTCTATTCCTAAATCCCAATATTACTGTATGTTAGGCATTGTGGGAGCTTGTGGATTTATGCACAGTATTAAGCAAGTTCAAATTTTAACGATATAGTTGGTTAGCCAAATTCCTTTCAAATGTATAGGCAAAAATTCTCATTAAAAAAAATGACACTAATTTATACTCCTAATTTGTCTGGGAGTGGTACTATTTGCCCCAGGGGTCAGGGTCATCATTCATGCCATACACAATATTGTGTATTTGAGCCTGGCTGGGATCGAACCTGTGTATCCTGCATCCCTTGGCTCCACGCATCTCTTGTTAAATGTTCTTGCATAGCAAGACC